TTCCTAGAGTTTATATTAACTTTTATTTGTGGTTTCTGCTTTGGATTTGATATGTTAATTGTTCATTAAATTCAAATTATTAGAGCAGTGATTGAGAAGAGATTGCTTTTTAATGAAACTTCTTATTCCAAGACTTGTCTGCTTTTTAAAAATTCAGGATATGAAGAAACATGTGAATGAAGAAGTTGCTGAATTCCTGAAGTTTTTACAGAATTCTGCAAAGAAATGTGCACAGGATTATAATATGCTTTCTGATGATGCTCGTCTCTTCACAGAGGTAAAAACAAAATTACATTTAGGTAAATTTCTAAGTGGATTACAGTAATAACATTCTAAAAATGTGTGATTATCTAGCAAAAAGCTTAGAGAACTGTCAGTATTTTCAGTTTAGAAAATCACGTTATATAAAGTTATATGTAGGTTTTTTATTCATGTGCTGAATAGTAGAAATATTAACATCTCAAAACTGTGTACTGTAGTGTATTCATGTGTTTGTATCTTTTAATGATCTATCTAGATTATCCTTATCCATGGAGAATACATTCCAAGAACCCCAGTGGGTGCTTGAAGCTGAACATAATACCAAACTCTACATATACTACATTTTTTCTATACATATATACTTATGGTAAAGCTTAATTTTTAAATTAGGTACACTAAGAGATTAACAACAATAAACAATAATAGAACAGAATTATTATAATAATATACTACAATAAAAGTTATGTGAATATGGTCTATCTCAAACTCAAAATATCTGTAAATACTAAGTATTCCATCATTTAAACTACTTATACAGTTGTTCATTTTATTTTGTATATATAACTTCTCCATTAATTCATGTATTTGGGAATTTTTTTGGAGTATTAAACTTTATTTCTAATAATTCATGCATCTGCTTTTATTGAAATACATTGTTGAAATTTTCATGTGGCTATATTTGATGGTTTCTTAAGTAGCATAGAAAATGTGTGTCTTTAATTTTTAATTTTAATAAGATTGCTAATTTTAGTATTATTAAAATCAGTATTTTAGGAAACTAGGTTAAAAATTTGTTTGACAAATAAAATTAAATCAAGGAATATATAATGTGCAGATTGGTAAAAGTCTAATTAACAAAACAAAGCTAACTTTTATGATTAAATAATTATATAATCACATGTAACTAAAACATTACTGTTGCAGTGTTAATGAAGTATGATACAAATGAATTTTTCTTGATTTTTATTTCCTAGCAAGTTTTAAGAGCTTGCATTGAACAAGTAAAAAAGTATCCAGAATTTTATACCCTCCATGAAGTTACCAGCTTACTGGGATTCTTCCCATTCAGAATAGAGATGGGATTAAAGTTAGAAAAAACTCTTCTAGTATTGGTAAGATTTATCATATGAAAGTATAAGCCTTTTTGGTCTGAAACATCATCTGTATTTCCTGTATTTATTGTATTATTTAAATTTGAATGATAAAGAGATAACTTTTTGAATATATAATACCAATCTGTGTCCCATTCTTTTTAGTTCATGGATACTAATTCTTGATGTTTTCAAAAATATCA